TCTCTCCCTTGGTTTGGCTCTGCTCCAGACTCCACTTAGCATCAATTATTCAGTGCTGACTTGCTGATTTATTGCAGAGGTGCGCAGCAGGGTTGCTGAGCTTAGTCGTTGCGGATGGCAGGCAGGGAGGATGAGCAGAGCAGCCGTGGTTCGGCAGGGAGTCAGGGAACAGCGGGTCAAGAAGCTTCACCAGGGTGAGACGCAGCCTCTCGTCGGTCCCAACTCCTGGCGCTGCTGGTTTGGCCGTCGTGAGTCAAGAAAGGCAGGAGCCTGCCGTGAACTGAAGGCAACTCGCAGGTATCTTCACGTGAAGCCCTCAGAGCTCTGGCCTGTGCTGCCTGCAGCCAGCTGGGGTTGAGCCCCCTCAGGCAGTGGCCAAGCAGTTGTGAGCTCCTTAACGTACGCTGGATCTTACAAGAGGGAAAAGCTACAACGCTGTGGCTGCCCTTGTCTGAGGAAGGTGGGGGTCACGGCTGGAGCCCTGCCCCAACGTGGCAGGGCAGGGGCAAGTGAAACATTGGAGCAGCGAACCAGGGCAGAGAAGCTAGCTAGTGTGTTTGGTTTGGTGCCTACGTGCTGCAAAGTCACGGATGAGGGGCCATCGCCAGCAGCAGGGATAGGAGGCCTCCTCTGACCAGCTCGGTGTTTTGGACAGGGCTTGTTGGAGGGGCAGGCAGAGGGAGGTCGCAGCTGGTTAGAGATGGCCAAGCTCCCCATGCGGTGGGGTGGCAATTCAGCCCCAGCTGCAAGCTTGCAGCTCCCCAAACTGGCCCCATTTCACCAAGGCCTCACCCAGGCCAGGCAGTGCAGCGGGTTGATGCCCCAGCAGGACGCAGGGCAACGCTTGGACTTCCTAGTGGTCGGGGCCAAGGTGGTCAGGGTGCAGAGTCACCTACGTGTCTACATCCCTGGCCCTTTGCTTTGCAGGCTTCAAATCCCAGCTTACCCTGCCCTGGGCTTGTGGGTGTGCATTTGAGTGATTTCTGGGCATGGGACCAGCCCTGGGACCCAGTGAGCAGGGAAAAGGGGGGGGGGGAAGCAAAACAAAAAAAACCACACATGCAAAAAATCCCTCCCCCCTCAAAGAAAGAAAGAAAGAAGGCAGGAAAAAAAGCACTGCAAAGTGGCTGGCAAAACAAGGCCAAGTAGCTCCGGCGCCGGGAAAAGCGACTAAGGCAGCAGGCTGGCAGGTGAAAGGGGCCAGTGGGGTCTTTTGTGGCTGGGCTTCTAGATCGCAGCCCAGCTCAGCAGCTTCTCTCATCCTTGGTTTTGTGATCCCCTACAGCTGAGCGGCTGGGCTAAAGCCGTTGCAATCAATTACTGCTGCTCCTAGGGCAGCTGCCCGTCTGGTACTGCAGCAGGGCAAGCCACAGAGCTTGGGGGGCTCGAGGAAGGTGGCAATTCCTGGGCAAAGGCCTAGGGAAGAGGAAGCCAGCAGGGCAAAGGAGCAGACCTGGGCAGGGGGTGAGGCCTCTGCTGTGCTGAGCCAAGCAAAAGGCGTCGAGAACTGCCTGAAACTTGCAACGAGAGCCGCAGCTGCGCCAGGGAAAGGGTGGATTTAATGGGATGAGCGGCAAAGGCCAAGTGTAGAGGGAGAGGCAGCGTGAGTACCAGTCCCTAGCTGACAAGTTAATTTGGCTTTAAGCAGCTGCCTCAGCACCTTTGCCCAGAGTTCAGTCCCCACCAGTCCCCGGGCAGGGACAAGGTGTGGGTGAGCTCAGGCTTGAGCCACCCAGCTGTCCTGCTCCCAGCCCTGTGGGAGCAGCACCTGGGCCCAGGGGGTGGGGTGGGGTGGCTGGCCTGAGACCCAACCACTGTTTCAGCTTTTGCGACCCCATGGCTGAGGTGTTTCCCTCCTCGGGTGAGGGATGGTGGGCCTGGGCTCGCCTGGTGAGCGAGTCGGAGGGGTGCGAAACAGCTCTGACCCCAGCCATGGCCACGTCCCCCGCCCCAGGGAGGGCTTGCTGCCCTGGGTGCGTGCAGGAAAATCCTCCGTGAGCCCAGGCCCCGAGAGAGCACCAAGAAACCTGGTGACCCCTGGGTAACGCCTGTGTTCGCCACCAGCTCTGCAAAAGGAGGGCGCTGCCCATCACCCTCTCCCGGGTGCCCGTAACTTACTGCCAGTGAGCCCTTGCCGTCTCCCATGCAGAGACGGTGGTTGCTGGCAGTAGGACGCTTGGCACCGCCGCCTCGACACATCCCCGGGAGCGCTTGTTCGAGGCTGGCGAACGTTGCGCTCCTCCATTGTTTACTGTGGCTACGAGGGTGCTGTTGGGGAGCAGCATGGGGTGCGAGGGCTGCTGCGAGACCCGTGCTGCGGTGGGTGCCTGCAGGAGCCGAGGCAGGGTGGGAAAGCATGCTGCCGCTGCAAGGCGGACCCGGCTGAGCACTGGGCGAAATGCCG